GAAGAGAGGGGGGGGGGGGGAGGCAGGCAGGCAGGCAAGCAGGCAGGCAGGCAGGCAGGCAGGCAGGGTTAAAAATAGGACTACCATATGATCCTGCTATACCTTTTCTGAGTATATATCTGAAGGAATCAAAGTCAGCACAGAATAGTGATAGCTACACACTCATATTTACTGCAGCACTATTTACAATGGCCAAGCTATAGAATCAGCCTGGGTGTTCAAAAATGAATGAACAATAAAGAAAATGTTCAGTCACAAGGAATTAAATTATGCTGCGTGGCAGTTTGAGTAAGAATGACTGGCCCCTATAGGCTCATATATTTGAATTCTTAGTCATCAGGGTGTGGCCCTATTTGAGAAAGATGAAGAGACTGATGACCTTGTCATCTTCTTAGAGGAAGAATGCCACTGGGGATGGGCTGTAATGTGTCAAAAGCCCTTCTCAGACCCATTATTCCTTTCTTCTTGCTGCTTGGGGATCAGGATGTACAACTCTCACCTATTTCTCCAGCACCATGTCTGTCTGTGTGTCTCCATATTCCCTACCATGGTGATGATGGACTAAAACTTAGAAACTGTAAGCAAGCCCTTAATTAAATTTTACAAGAGTTGCCTTAGACATGCTGTCTCTTCACAGAAACACAACAATGACTGAGACACGCTGTTTAGAAAACAAAGATCATATGATTTCTATCACAAGTGGATATTAGCTGTGCAGAGGGAGTAGAAGAGGACCCCAAAAGTAAAAGGGAGACAATTATGGACATAGAAAGAAGAAAAGGGGAGAAAGGATAAGAGATAAGAGATATGGAGTAAGTATGATCCTGTATATATGTGTAAAAATGTCATAATGAAGCCCATTACTTTGTGTAATTGATATGCACTAATAAAACAAAAAACATTGACTGAGAAAACTGGCATGTACAGAACTTGATAAGCAAAAATTCAAACAAAAATTCTTTCTTAATGCATAAGAAACATTTCCAAAAACTGTCCATGTTTTAGGACAAAAGAGAATACTTCAACAAATACATACATGCATGCATACATACATACATACATACATATATACTGTGTAGGCCACTGAATCAAAAATATAATAAAAAAAATGTAAAGTGAAAACACTGCTGATTCCTCCAAAAATAGGAAAAAATGTGTCTCATATTACAAACACCAATCAACTTCAGATAGTCAAACAAATGTCAATTTTAGTAACAAAAATTTGAAACTAGGTCCTGCAGCGGGTGCCCAAGCCTCAGGTGAGTCTGGGCATTGCTCTGCCCCCCCCCATTAACCCTTGCTCGCTTCTACCTGAGCCCACCTGGACAAGAATGAACCTGCCCAGAACTGAGTCTGGACACACCACACCCCTGTCTACACTCTGCCCTCTGTTCTTCAGCAGGTGCCCGAGCCTCAGGTGAGTCTGGGCGCTGCTCTGCCCCCCAACCTCCCCCATCAACCCCTGCTCGCTTCTGTCTGAGCCCACCCGAACAAGAGTGGACCTGCCCAGACCGAGAAGGCCCACACTGAGTCCAGACACACTCCACACTTGTCCACCTACCACCCTCTGCCATCCAGCTGCCGCCAGAAGCTGAGCCCTCCGCCTGCCACCAGAAAGAGGGAGAGACCCTACCTGCACTCACTGGAAGAAGGGATGGAAAGATGACAGAGTAAGAAAACACTCAACAACAGAAAAACCAATATAACACCACCAGAATCCAGGCACTCCACACCAGCAAGGTCTGTAAAGCCTAGAAATTATCTTAGGAAGATGATACAGATCTTTAAAGAGGAAACAAGAAAATCCCTTAAAGAAACAGAAGAAAAAACAAGCAAAAAATTACATGAAATGAAGGAAAAGACAAACCAAAAAATTCAAGAAGTAAACAAATCTCTTAAAGAGTTTAAAGAAAGCCAAGAAAAAACAACCAAAAAAGTGAAGGAAGCACTCAAAACAGTTCAAGGCATAAAAGCTGAAATAGACACAATAAAGAAAACACATAGCACTAACTGCCCACATGAAGAAACTGGAGAAAAGTCACATTAGAGAATTGACAGAACAACTGAAAGCTTTAGAGCAAAAAGAAGCAAACTCACCACAGAAGAGTAAACACCAGGAAATAATCAAACTGAGAACTGAAATCAATGAAGTAGAAACTAGGAAAACAGTACAAAGAATCAATGAAACAAAGAGTTGGTTCTTTGAGAAGATCAACAAGATAGACAAACCTCTATCCAAACTTACCAAAAGGCAGAGAGAGAGCATGCTAATTAACAAAATCAGAAATGAAAAGGGGGACATAACAAAGGACACTGAGGAAATCCAGAGAAACTTCAGGTCATACTTTGGAAACCTGTACTCCACAAAATTCGAAAATCTAAAGGAAATGGACAATTTTCTGGATAGATATCACTTACCAAAATTAAACCAAAAACAGATAAGCAGTGTAAATCGACCTATAACCCCTAATGAAATAGAAGCAGTCATCAAAAGTCTCCCAAACAAAAAAAGCCCAGGGCCAGATGGCTTCACTGAAGAATTCTACCAGAAATTCAAACAAGAGCTAATACCAGTACTCCTCAAATTGTTCCACACAACAGAAGCAGAAGGGACATCACCAAACTTTTTACAGAGGCTACAATCACTTTGATACCCAACCCTCACAAAGATACAACTAAAAAAGAGAACTACAGACCAATAT